AACCAGAAAATCATAAGCATCCTCCGATTTAGCACCCTTGAAGACTGGAGGTTTCAATTTCAAGAACTTACTGAAAAGTTCATGTTGATCACTTGTCATTATAGGCCCAGTAGTCAGACGTGGAAACATGCCTATTTCCAATGGAACATCCATGCGGGGAGCCATAGTAGCCGCATCTTGTACCTCCAGAGCCTGAGGTGCTGGTGCAGAAAACACTGGGGGTGTCTGGCCCTGATCATATGGGCTAGGTGCCCGTCCTCTTCCCCTAGAGGACGTCCTCCCACGACCTCTACCACAGCCCCTTGCCGCTGTTCTCCCTCGAGCCACAGCCCCGGTGGCTGGCTCAGTTGTTTCTTGTCTGTCCGGTGTTGGTGTTGGCGTAGTCGTTGCTCTAGTTCTAACCATTTGCGAAAGAAAGTGAAGATGGTCAGATACCAATTCGTATCGCCTAGATACCAATTGGACTCAAGTAGTAGCACGAAAGAAAGAATGAAAGAGTGAAATTTTCCTAAAGTCTTATAGCCTCTCAAAGAAAAGAAAAGGCATCCCCCTACCGTTCCTTATGACTCTACTAGACCTGTTCTTGTGTGATGAGACCAACGAACCTAATGCTCTGATACCAAGTTTGTCACGACCCAAATCGGATCGCGACTGTCACCCATACTTACCCTCCTATGTGAGCGAACAAACCAATCTAAACCTTAACAATTCAATGTAATAACAACAGAAAGTAATGCGGAAGACTTAAACTCATTAATAAAAACCAATTCAATAACTATCAATATTCAACATCTATTATTCCCAAAACCTGGAAGTCATCATCACAAGAACATCTACTTTAAACTACTAATTCTATGAATTTCTAAGAAGCTAAAAATACATAAGAAGCTAGTCCATGCCGAAAGATCAAGGCATCAAGACATGAAGGAGAAGATCCAGTCCAAGCTAGAAGCGTTAGCTCACCCTGAAGATCCGGTGTGACGAAGACTGGCTTGAGTTACTGTTGAGTCGAAGATGACGGCACGTTTGCTGCACTCCACAAATAACAAGAAGAAAAACATAAAAGTAGGGGTCAGTACAAAACACGGGTACTAAGTAGATATCATCGGCCAACTCAAAATAGGGAACAGTATATATCAATATTATCGTAAATCAACTATAAAACTCAACATGTAGCAACAACAAGTATTATAATCATCAATAAGTACCATCAAGTTCATCCATGAGGGCTCAAGCCTCAACACCATACTCATTTGGGAATTAAGTTTTATTAAATTGAGTATATTATCATCTTCTAAGATTCATTATCTTTCTTCCTCTTGTGTCGGTATGTGACACTCTGATCCCCTACTACTATGTGTCGGTACGTGACACTCCGATCCCCTAATTCTATGTGTCGGAACGTGACACTCCGATCCCCTACATGTGTCGGTACGTGACACTCCGATCCACTAATACTATGTGTCGGTACGTGACAGTCCGATCCACTAATACTATGTGTCGGAACGTGACACTCCGATCCACTAATACTATGTGTCGGAACGTGACACTCCGATCCACTAATATCATTCTGTAAATCATCAAGCCTTCTCTATACCAAGGCATCATCAATCCCGTTACTTTAATTCATCGAGCCTTCTTCTATACCAAGGCATCATCATTAATAATGTATATTAAAGTTTTCTTTTCAAGATTTGGGATTCAATATTTTCATCATGCTTATCTTATCACAATCACATAATCATATTCATGCAAACATACCATTAAGCATATAGTAGGGTTTACAATACTACCAATACATATCATTCACTATTGAGAGTTTACTTATGAAAGCATGAAAACCATAACCTACCTCCACCAAAGAATTGGAATCAACAAGCAATTTCCGAAGCTTTGATATTCCCTCTGCCTCTTGATCGATCAATCTCTCTCTCCTTGTTCTCTCTATTTTCTTTATTCAAACCCTCTTTCTTTTACCCTAGTTAACATATAATTAAGTGTAAAAGATGGCAATAATACCCCACTAATTAACTTAGGGTTACCTCTTTTAACCCCCAAGAATTTGAGTTATTAATATAAACCCACAAAATCTATAATTAAGGAAGGAGTAGTCCAAAAACGTCCCATAAAACGTGTAAGGAAATCCGATTCTGCCTGAGATTTGCGCAACCTGTGATGGGCCGTCGTGCCTGCGACGGTCCGTCGTGCAGGTTGTTGCAAGAGTCAGAGAGTCAATTTCCACTGAACAATCTATGACGGTCCATCACGCCTGTGACGGTCCGTCCTGCCATTCCGTCACGAAGTTCAGAGAGTCGATTTTCAGTAGCCAATTTCAGATTTTCTAAGTGTTTTGAAACGAGACCCTGCGACGGTCCATCGTGCCCATGACGGATCGTCGTTTGGTCCGTCGCCTCAGCCTGTTTTTCCAGAATTGAAGTTTGTTGCTCAAAACGACCAAATAGGTCGTTACACGGGATCACTTCTCTGATCTTCATGACGAACCTGGAGGACGGACCATCATAGACACGACGGACCGTCACAAGCTTCGTAACCCCACACTTGGTCAGACTTCCTCATCTTCCTTCAGCAGCTGCACTACGCTGCCACCTACGGACCGTCGCAAGCACGACGAACCGTCATAATCTCCGTAGGTGGTCTCTTCTGCATTTCTTCGCTCAAAATCTCCGCATTCAGCTTTGGACAGATTTCCTGCAAAACAAAGAGAAACTTATATAAAAATTAGCACAAAAAGACTTTTGGACACACTAAACTTAACGAAAAAGTATTAATTATACAGTGAAACAATGGTATATCACTACACCATATTAATTAAATACTTAATTACATATTTAAGGTAATTGTGATATTATTCTTATCTTGGAAAAAGACCATTTTACCCCTAGACCCTCCAACCTTAAGATTTCCCCTTTTTAAGTATGGTAAAGACTCACAAGGTAAATCTTCATATTCTGGAGCCCTACATGGCTGGACACAAGCTTTCCAAGACAACTAAATCCCCAAGTTAGTTGCCTTGGTTGTCGTAAGGGTTTAGAGGTCTGATTCTACGCGCATTAATTCGTGTGAACCTAGTCTAATCGTAGGCATTCTAGACACATTAAACATTACTTAGCATATCCATTTTTTTAGGGTTGTTACATTTATGAAAAGGAATTTATATTTAATCTTAATTAATTGTGCATCTTAATAATAAAGAAATTAATTTATCATATCATGCATAATTAATTACAATTTTAATATCTAAAAATGTCTTTATGTGATCATTAAGTTCAAAATTTTTTTAATTAAACATGTTTGCCTAAACATTAATAACTAAGTTATAGATCACTAAGACATTTATTTTTTAAGTGATCCATAATATAATATATAATATCATTTAATCAAGATTGTTGTGGCTAAATATCAATCAAATAAATTATATGAGTTACTAAATATTAACTCAAAATTATAGATAAGATTTATTGTTGAATATTATGCAACAAAACAACAATCTGTCTTTTATTATTATAAAATATTTTTATAAATTTTAGAACAAGATGTTGAATTTTAAGAACCATTTTGAGAGATTATAGAGAATTTTGAAAACTCACAAAGGAGAGAAAATTTAACGGATCTGATGCAAAATCTAAGAACTAGAGAGCAATGGTGCAACGAAAATATACTTTGATCGACATACCTTCAACAATTTTTAGTGATATAGTCAGAGTCATCTGTGTTTGTTTTCTAATAAGAAAATTTTTCGTTTCTTCAAAGATCATTATAAGCACTCAAACCTCACTCTTACATTGTATGGAGTTTTTAGAAATAATGTGCTTAGGGACCTTTGAACCAAATGACATATTTATAAATGTGCTTCCATCAAGAATGGTTAAGAGGTTATGAAAAGTGACCAACCACTATAGTAGTAGGATAGTGGATCCATGTAGCGGCTTAATGGGTAGTTTGTTACCTTCCCATTAGTGGGATAATGGGTAGTTAATTACCTTTTCATTAGTGGGATAATGGGTCAATAAAGTTGGATAATGGACCCATATAATACAAACCATATCAACATTAACAAAATTCTAACAATATCGAAAAATATATAACTACAGAATGAGTCACATTTATATCATTCATAGCAGTTTGTATGTTTATTTCATTCATTAATAATTACTTTCTCCGGTTTAAAGAGAATATGACAATTTAACTTGATATGGAGCTATAAAAAAATAAAGATTTTTTTTTCTATTTGTGTTCCTAAATTAAAAATTTTGTAAAATATATCAAAATGTTGTAATTTTTTGTCTTAAAAATACAAAATAGAAAAAATTAAAATTACGATGTTGTGAAAAATGAAAAGGAATCGTTTTCTGAAAGTACATTATTCAATTTTGAAGTGGAGTAAATATTTATTTAAAATCTTCATAATAGTTTTTCTCATTTAACGTTTAAATATTTTTCACACTGAATTTTTTTGAGTTACAATACTTTTTAGATTGTGTTCAAATACTTTAAAATTTAAAGGAAAATAAATATTTTCTTTTCATAAAAGTTAGACGGTGTTTGAATAGACTTAAAAGTTAATCGAATCTAATTTTAAGTTAGTTTTTCATTTCTGAAAGTGTTTGATAAATATAATAATACTATAAAATAAGTACAAAAAAATGACTTAAAAATATGTTATGAAGTATTTGATAATGTTAAAAATAATTTAAAAGAACTTAAAATAACTAAAAAAATCAATCAAGATCTCCCCTACATTTTACTTTTCAACTTAAAGTTATTTAATTTTGACTTTTGAATTCTTGACTCAAAAGCTATCTTTTTAGCCAAACCAACCCTTACAGCTCATCATTAAATTTCGAAATGAGTGGCATAAATTACATCTCAATAAAAAACATCAAAACGGATCATCTCAAAACCACACCCATGGATGAAAACACGACTATATATATATATAGCCGAAGAAGAATAGATGAGAACGAACGGTGAAGTAGACAATGTTTAAATCACAGCTCATCACGGCTCTTTTCATATTGTTCTTTTGTCTTTCTCCTATTTACGGGGATTTTGATTACATGCAACTCGTTTTAACTTGGCCACCATCCTTTTGCTATCCAAGGGGTACTTGCAAGCGAACATCGAACAATTTCATGATTCACGGTCTTTGGCCCGAGAAGAAGGGGTTTCGTCTGGAGTTCTGCTCCGGCGGTAAAGCCTATAAGAAATTTGAACTACATGTACAACAAATTTTTTTCATAGAATTCTAAATTTTATATTTGATCTCAATTATACTTTTCAATTCTATTTATGATAGTCGTTTGCTAATTTTTGCAGGATCATATAGTCAATGATCTGGATCACCATTGGATTAAAATGAAGTTCACCGAACAAGATGCTAAACAAAAACAACCTCTCTGGAACCACGAATACACAAGACATGGAAGGTGTTGTTTCAATCTCTACGATCAGAACGCATATTTTTTACTAGCCATGCGCTTAAAAGATAAATTAGATCTTGTAAGAACTCTCAGAAATCATAGAATTACCCCAGGGACAAAGCATACATTTGATGAAATCAAAAGTGCTATTAAGACCGTTACTAATCAAGTAGATCCTGATATCAAGTGCGTCAAGCATATAAATGGAGTAGAGGAATTAAATGAGATAGGCATATGTTATACCCCCTCGGCCGGTAGTTTTTATCCATGTCGTCAAAGTAATACATGCGATGAAACGGGTACGGCAATTTTATTTAGATAATGAATGACTTCCAATGACCAACTTTTCTTTTTCGTTTATGTATAGATAAAAAAGATGCGTAACTACCCATTGAAGTAAATTCAATGTCAATTTACGAACATCATTAATAAATTTATATCTTCTACTTTAGTCCACTGTAACCAATATGTATTCCCTTTTTTTATAAAGAGTTGTATTACTTTTCTGGCTTACAACAGCACATCCTTAGTAAGTATTACTCGTTTAAAATCATTGTAGCGGTTCCGAACGGCGGAATTTTTTGTTTGGTCGTGTTAAATGATATGCCGAAACTAGATAAACCAACTAGTGATTCCCGAATGAATTACGAAAGCCAAAGCTGGTAAGCGTAATACTTTGAAAACCCAAACTCATGATATAAAAAACAATTAAATTAGTTTTGTTGATTCTATGGGTGCCCTGAAAATTGACATCAATTTTTGATCAAATATTTCAAATATATTTTAGCATTTTAGATAGAGAAATTGCACAAGTTTGTTCTAGAATATGATCGAAATCTTATAGATACACTTTAATTAAACTAAGGTCCTATTACTTTCTAAACTTATATTTTTTGTAATTTTGTGCACTTGTTGTCATACGTGGAACATTCAATGACTCCACACAATTGAGACGCGTGACATATATTTTTACGCCAAGTAAGTAAAAAAAATTCATAAAATTACAAAAAATATAAGTTCGGAGAAAATATAATCTTAACTTAGTTATGGTGCGTTTATGAGATTTTGGTTATAATCTAAAACTACGTGTGCATTTTCTCTAGGGATAATTTCTTCTTTTTCTACGGATTTTTTTGCCCACCATTTTCTCTTGCTTAAGATCCTTCCATAGTGATAAGTGTTTTGAGAGTTATTTTAGAGTTTAATAGACATCTTTGAATGTCCGATTGATGAACAATTCTATTGTTAAATCATGTAGGTTCAAATTACGTGTTTCAAAGTCCGATTTCACTAATAATTTCTTTTCTTCTATATTAGACCCATTTTGGGTTTTCCCCCCTGTTTTGTCACTGACTTTTGTTTTCAGATTAACAAGTTTTCAGTTGTACCACAATTTCTTAAACTTCGCTGGAAATTGTCCGAAGTTTAAAGTTTAGATTTGTTTCTTCCTAACCACCCTCATTCTATCTCAAATCCGAGCTCCATTAATGTTTTCCCTTTTTTTTATGATTAGTTTTTGAGCTGAAACTGAAGGTTGAATTTGATAAAGGTTTTCTTGAGTTGTGCTAGAAATTGTGCAAGATCTGTTTGCCTTTCGGGAGAACGGGAATTTTAAATTGTTGGTGTATTATGTTGCTCAATTTATGAAATAGGAGCAGTTAATTTAATAAAGTTTTGATTTTTCGTTACAATTTTGAGGTGTTAATCTTTCAATAAAACATAGATGGACTGGATTTGATTGGGTATGTTGCTTAATTTTTTGAAATATAAACAGTTGATTTGTAATAAAGTTATTTTTTTTTGGAATTTTTGAGTTGTAGAACTTTTGATAAAATATAGATGGAGCGGATATGATTGGGTTGTAGATCTTTTGGTAAAATATAGAATTTTTGAGTTGTAGAGACACACAGGTAAGGCTCTAGGCCCGACTATGTGGCTTTACCACAAATGAGGATCCCATTTTAATTTATTTATTTTCAAAACGAGTCTTCCCTTTTCATGAAAAGTTATGATTTTTATGAAAAGTTCTCACTTTCATGAAGAGTTACGATTTTATACAAGTGTTGTGACGTTTTCATGTGGGTTTTGCAAAGGATTTAATCCTATCAGTTATGTGAGTATTTCATAGCGTAGGATTCGTGCACCCACTCGCCAAACATGTATATTTAAGCATATTTTTTCCTAAAAGAGTTTGAAATTTTGATGTTCTTGATATGTACCCTTGAATTTGATATTATTCTTGAATTGGGATGAGATTGAGAAGTTTATGAGGTCATTACGTTGAATTATAAAATTATTTGTAGTTATGTTATTGGGTACATTTGTTGGATATCTGTATCTACAATGACTTTGGGAAAAATAAACGAGTTTGGGCGAATTGGCGCTAGAAAACAAATAGGAAATTTAGTTGAAAAATATGGGAACTTGCTCTGCATTAGGGATAAGTTCCCCATATTAAGAAAATATTGTTTCACATTGCGGAAAGTCACTGACTGTTCTGTCTCAAAATTTATTTTGGAATAAAAAATTAAAATACATCTCCATGTCGCAGACCTCTTCTCAGATAGTGATTTCTTGATCTTTACTCATTTTAGCTATCAAAAAAAAACATTTAAGAATCATAAGATCTTTCCTACAACATGTCACGATACTTGAAGTATGATTCAGTTCAAGAAAAGTTAAAAGTCAAGCTTAGACGTCAAGATAAGATCATTAAAGTTTTCAAAGTCTATCACAAATGTTTTAACTTTGTTCGAAGACTTATATTTTAAGTTAAGCAAATTGTAAAATATTGAGTTCATTTCTTTAAAAGTTATATGGGAACTAAGTACTCTCAAGAGTTTTAAAATGTTTTGACATTTTAAGTTATGTTTTGAGTAATTATCTCAACCCAAATAAAAAAGCTTGTTTTTAAAAAATATATGAGCTGAGTACATTTTGAGAGTAGTATTGAGCACAGATATAAGCGGGGACACGAGTTTATATTAAATCTAGTTTCTGCTTTTTACAATTCTTTATATATATTGGATGTGTTTTATTACTTTATATTGAGTTAACTTATTGATGAGTAGAGAAGTGCAAAGGTAAGTGTTCCTTACAAATTCATTTCAACAATACGTTGTTTTTAGCATTCCAACTGGCGTACTTGTACGTTATATTATTGATGCCTTGTTTCTTGAATCATCTTATAATGCAATATGAAGGTAACTAGGATCATCACCTAGTGAATCGTTGATCTGGTTGAACACTCAGGAGTAAGTTGGTGAGCCTCCTTGCATTCCGTAGATCTCTTTTATATTGATTTCACTTATTTAAATACTTTAATAGGATGTCGTGAGGTTTGTTCCAACATCAATAGCAGTTCTTTAGAGGCTTCATTGACAGTGAGACTGTTAGTAGTTCAATTGTCTTTACATTATCATTTGACATGTTAATACTTGAGTTGTCCTTTTGTCCAAGTTGAATGTTGACTTTTAGATATTCTATGTTTTTTTATCATTAGATTGAGTATACTGAAATTTCACATTATAAATGTGCGTAGAGTCTTCCGCCAAGTAAGTAAGCCTGACATGTGTTCGCTTGATCCCAACAATGATTCTCGAGGGTCTCCCATACCCAGGGTGTAGGCTATGGGCGTGACAAAGTTGTCTTGACCAGGGAGCAACCCAGAGTCGCGAAACGGCATACTCGACCTCTCGAAGGTCTTCTACAAAACTCTTAGCATTTGTTCATTACATAAGTATGGAAAGTAGTGCAGAATTTAAATTTTTTCACAAATAAAGTGGATAAGAAAATCTCTTTTATAATACATAAGAAAACTTAGTGTCATCATAAGCCACCATAGACTCAAACATTAACAATATGAAATTAGGGTCATGCCCTTACATAAATTCAAAACTTTTTTTCTAATAAAAAATCTATAATGAAAAGAAAGTAGAAACATAGTCCATGTCCTCGAACATATGAGGAAATATCAATCTTGAGAGAAATCTACTTCCCAAGCTCAGAATCTATGAATCCTTACTTGCCACCACCTACACTTGTAGACATATAAAAACATGTTGAATAAGCACAATTAATGCACTAAATATGGTGAACATGCAAGAAACCCATGCAAAAGGAACATTTTATTTGAAACATGCTTTTCATGCTATTTAGATAAAAATCTCATAAGACAAGTATAAGTATAAGGTAAGACCAACATTCATTAAGAAACACATTTATCCATTCCGACCCTCTTCCTAAGGTTATCTCAACACTTACCTAGGTAAGAGATGAAGAGATCGCCCATACAACCTCTTCAATACACACAAAATTTTTACAAGTCTTAAAATAAGAAACAACATAGACTATGTCCTCGAATATATGAGGACACACCAAGTCATGGGAGAGTCAACTTCCCAAGCCTTAGCTCCTAATCTTCCACTTGCCTTCCACCTATACTCATAGAATATAGAATAGTATAAGGTTAGTATAAATATTGTACAATGTATGGAATTACGCAAAATCAAGCAAAAGAGGACATTTTACTTTAAACATACAATTCACGCTATTTTGATAATAACCGTTATGAATAAAGTTACAACGTATCATATTGATCAACATTTAATACGTAAGGTAGAACTTCCATGCTTCTTAACATAAATCCATTAATACAATAAACCCCATTTATCTTATAAACTTCTCCTATAAAATGTTGTCTCAAGGCTCCCCTAGGTAAGACATGAGGAGATAGCCCAAACAACCTCTTCAATATATACCTATGTTATACTTAAAATTAAAAGGATAAGTGTACTTCATTTTATTTAACAAGTCAACATTCATTAGAAAAGACTCTTAAGGAAAATACATGCATTTAGGAACTTGACATAAGGACCATATTCCAAGATAAAGCCCAAGTTACACTTTGTGCAATATGAGAGTAGCATCCCATACTACTACTCCCACCCTTAGTTACCCTTGAGAATTCCCTTACACTAGGCATATCACATTCACCATATATATAGTTTTTATCATATAAGACAAAATATCAAAATGCTTCTTTAGCATTATACATAAGTCACACTACTCTATTTACGTCATATAGTGACCCATTCATACATTTTCATATGAGGACCCATGAAGAATCCCTATAAATCTACTTGTGCAACAGATAGATAAAATCTCATTCGACCACCTACCCTAAGTAGTACAACCTTGAAAAGAGTTAGTTCATCACATACTTTTTTGGGGGTTGGGGGGGCTAGCTTTAATCGACATAGACAATGAGACCTATACATTTAATCCTAGTATTAACCCATACTAGATGAGGGACCCCTACTT